GATGATGGTGGTGGTGGTGGTGGTGATGATGATGGTGGTGGTGATGATGGTGGTGATGATGATGATAATGATGGTGGTGGTGATGGTGATGGTGTTGATGGTAGTGATGATGATGGTGGTGGTGGTGATGATGATGGTGGTGGTGGTGGTGGTGGTGGTGATGATGATGGTGGTGATGATGATGGTGGTGGTGATGATGATGATAATGATGGTGGTAGTGATGGTGATGGTGTTGATGGTAGTGATGATGATGATGGTGGTGGTGGTGATGATGATGATAGTGATGGTGATGATGTGATTATGGTGATGATGATGATGGTGATGATGGTGGTGGTGGTGATGATGGTGGTGGTGATGATGATGATGTGATGTGATGTGATGACAATGATGATGATAGTGGTAATGATGGCTGGAGTTTCACTGCCTGGGGGGCCAGTCCCCACCAGCACAGGGCTCAAAGGGAACCTACAGAGTCATCATACTATGACTTTTTTATCTGAGGGAGTTAGGGAAAAGACACCACACACTCTCTTGATGATTTCCTTCTTTATTCTTCTCTATTCTTCTACTATATATTTTTTCTCTACAGCTTATATACCCCAAAAAAGTTTTTCAAGGAATATAGGAATTGCAATGTGGTTACATTTTATTTTTCAAGTGAATGATTACAATGAATACAAGTAAAAACCAGCATGTTTTCCATATCCCTTCATGATTAAACATTTTACATATTACAGGTGAAAATAAATTACCCCAAGAACCCACATACATTCATACCCAAGCAACTTGTTATAGACTAACAATGTAAGCAAGCAAGGTGTTCTTTTACTGGCAGTTACAAAGAGAGGACCAATCACTTTATTACTTATATTGAAAGGTAATTTTTTTTTTTTTTGGTTTTTTGAGACAGGGTTTCTCTGTGTTTTCCTGGAACTCACTTGGTAGCCCAGGCTGGCCTCGAACTTACAGAGATCCTCCTGCTTCTGCCTCCCGAGTGCTGGGATTAAAAGCGTGTGCCACCACGCCCCAGCAAAAGGTAATCTTATAAGGAATCACAAACCTAAACTTTTATACATGAAAAACAATCAGTCAGCTCTACTTTAAATCTTTAGGGTGCATACCCACTCATCAATAGTTTTTTATATACAGGAGATTGAGGGCAGAAATGAGTATAAGGAATTAATCATCACCTTTGGTCATCAACCAGTCCTAGGAAGAAAGGTACGTCAGCTAACGATAATTGTTCTTGTTCGCTGACTATGTGCCTTTCTAAACCTTTAGATTGTCTTCTTGGGTTTTTCACCTCGAAGCTATTTGACAAAAACATCTTAGTCTAACTTCAAGTTATTTTCAAAGCTATGTTTCACCCTGAAACCTGTGAACACATCTCTCAACATTAAGAGTAAAAGAATTTAAGCCAGCTGGGCTAACTGGGACTCAATTGTTTTTCTTTTCTTTTCTTTTTGAGCTGAGGATCGAACCCAGGGCCTTGTGCTTGCTAGGCAAATGCTCTATCACTGAGCTAAATCCCCAACCCTCAATTGTTTTTCTTAATCATTAACCTAAGCCACAGTCTATATGGCTCCTCAATAGAAACTCATGTGTTGTAGCAGTGTGACACTCCCTTGTTTATATATTTAATCACCAAAACTCTATTTAAACTAACATTATTATTATCATCAATTAGACAGTACAGCTTAAGAAGAAATCATCTTCATAATAAGCCACAGGTAAAAATGCCCAGTAGGGTGAGATGTTTCCACGAGATAAACACACTACATTACAGGCAGTGGAGGTCTCCCCACACCCATTCACACCATGCCAGATACCAGAGAAAGATAACAGCAGCAAACATGTGAAGGCAGAGCAGAAGCAAAAGACATTCCGGGGTCTGTGGTCTCGGGGCCTTGCCTATCATCACCCATCAGGGAGTTGCCTCCTGGTGGGGTGACACCCTGACGTCAGTCAACTGCCATCTGCTGCTCCTCTGACATGGCCACCAGCACTGGGGAGAGAGCCAGTGAGGCAGTATGTACCAATCACTCCGGCACTGGAGAGGGAGTTGGGCCTAGTTGGGCCTTGCTGGTCTAGTACTGTAGCTGAATCAGTGAGCCACGAGTTAGTGGGAAACCCTGCTTCAAAAAATAAGGTAGGAGCTGGGTGGCGGTGGGTGGCACACGCCTTTAATCCCAGCACTCAGGAGGCAGAGCCAGGTGGATCTCTGTGAGTTCGAGACCAGCCTGGTCTACAGAGTGAGATCCAGGACAGGCACCAAAGCTACACAGAGAATATATATATGTTGTAGGAAATATATATATGTTGGTAGGAACAATGGAGGAACATGCCCGACATTGACCTCTGGCCTTTATAGACGGACATACACCTGCACACAGTAGGCACATTACACACACACAAATAAATGCTATGCTGGAGTCCCCCAGGCCTCATCCCTCCAGCCTCATATTTCTTCCTCATGCTGCAGTTGGTCCCTGCTGAAAGTCCTAGTCAGCAGCCCTGTCTCCTTCCACCTCCTGAGAGTCCCTTGGAAGCTGAGTTTGTATCTGCACAGCTAAAGTAAAGCTCTTTTAGCCTTCCTCCAAGAGTGTCTTGGCCTCTCCATCTCTGAAATTCTTCACCCTGCTCCGTGGCCCGATGCTTCTTTCTCCTATTCCTGGTTCCTTTTTATCCACTTTTTGACTGTTCCCTTTCCCTGGCCGCTCCTCCAGTCATTGTTTGACGAGCCACCTGTCTGTGGTCTGTCCTCACTGTTCTCGATCACCCCCTGGGCCTGGAGATGGGGGAGTGCTGTGGGATAATGCCCTTGTACGCTGGTTTAATAAAACGCTGATGGGCCAGTGGCCAGGCAGGAAGTATAGGTGGGGTGAGCAGGCAAGGAGAATTCTGGGAAGAGGAAGGCTGAATCAGGAGTCACCAGCCAGACACAGAGGAAGCGAGATGTGAAGGCAGAACTGAGAAAAGGTAACAAGCCATATGGCAAACGCAAGGTCCTGGGTTCGATTCTCAGCTAAAAAAAAAAAAGTCATATGGCTAAACATAGGTAAGAATTATGGGTTAAGCTAAGTGTAAGAGCTAGTCAATAATAAGCCTGAGCTAATGGCCAAGCAGTTATAAATAATATTAAGCCTCTGTGATTATTTTATAAAAGACTATGGGACCATGGGTGAGAGATTTGTCCCGACTGCAGGGCCCGGGCAGGACCAGAGAAATCTTCCTACAGAGGAGACCAAGGAGGTTGCTTGGAGAGAGATGGGCAGTGGGGGGTTGAGGATGACCTACTCCCTTCTTTCTGCTCCAGTGGGTGGCCATGTGGATTTTGATGACTTTGTGGAACTAATGGGACCTAAGCTCCTGGCGGAGACAGCCGATATGATTGGTGTAAAGGAACTGAGAGATGCCTTTCGGGAGGTGAGTGGCAGCTGGCGACAGGCAGGGGTGGGCAGGCTGAATCCCAGGCTCAGGATGACTATGAAGAGTTCTAAGTCCCTGGGTCCCCGGCCACGGGAGGGAACTTGGCTAGAAGGAACCCTGGGATGGGGGGCACTGCTCAGTCTTGAGGTCGGCCCTCCATCCGCGCCGCCCTCTCCCCTCCCTTCACCCTCTCCAGTTTGACACCAACGGCGATGGGGAGATAAGCACCAGTGAGCTTCGAGAGGCCATGAGGAAGCTCCTGGGCCATCAGGTGGGTCACCGAGACATAGAGGAGATTATCCGAGATGTGGACCTCAATGGAGATGGACGAGTGGACTTTGAAGGTAGGCGGGGCTTAAAAGTGGGTGAGAAACAAGCCAGCTGGGGAGCGCCCTGACTGCGCATGCCCCATGCCGTCACCAATCCAACGCAAGCTCTCACGCTTCCTCCTCGCCTTCCTTCCATCTACTTGGCCATCACCCGTCCATTGCATCTGCCCGGATGCCTGTTCGGTTTTTCATCATCTCTCAAAGCCATCCGCACAACCACTGACCCATGCATTCATCCATCCATTCATGCATCCCTTCATTCCGCTATCCATCCATCCATCCGCGCGCACATCTCAGTATCTTGTCCCTGTCCACATCTCTCTGTTCCCCCACACCTCTGTACTTTGTCCATATAGTCATACACTTCCCGCTGCCTGTGTGTCCACCCATAATCCCATCGGTCTCTCTGTCTGTTCAGACATTTCCCCATCCATTTTATACCCATCTGTTCATACATGTACCCATCCTTGTGTCCGTCTGCCCCACCTGTCTGTTCCCCACTCATGCTGTTTTCTGAGGACCACACTCCTTGGCCTGACCTCAGGCCCCCCCTGACATCTGACCACAGCCCTGCCATAGCATCTACCATTCCTCCACTCTGAAATACTCGAGATATGTGAACCTGTGAGGCCATCCCGTGAATACGCTGTTCTTTGTGCCAAGTGCCTTTCGTTTTATTTTCTACTTGGGCTAAATTGTTTTAATTGCATCTACCTATCTATCTATCATCTATATCTATCTATCTATCTATCTATCTATCTATCATCTGTCTATCTATCATCTATCTATCTATCATCTATCATCTATCTAGAAAGTGTGTGTGTGTGTGTGTGTGTGTGTGTGTGTGTGTGTGTGTGTGTGTTCGTGTTCCACGGCGTGAGTACGGAGATCAGAAGATAACCTGCAGGAGTTGTTTTTTTTGTTTTTGTTTTTGTATTTTTTTTTTTTTCTTCCATCAAGTGGGTCCTGGGGATCAAACTCAGGTCTTCAGGCTTGGCAGCAAGCACCTTTATCTCCTAAGACATCTCACTCACCCTTGAGTGAAACCCTATTCGTGTTTTCCGAGACCCAGTAGGAGGCGTTCTTCCCAGAACACCCCTGCCCTCTTCTGCAGACTGAGCCTCCTCTTTCCTGGCCTTTGTAGCCCTTCCCAGAGCTGCCTCACCAAGACGCAGGGTGGAGGGGGTGGGCAGCGCAGCCTCGGAGCAGGGGCGATCCGGAGGGGCCTTGGCGGCCGTGTTCTGTGCTGGCTCCTGACTGCCTCTGTCTGTCTCCACCCGCTCCTGTGCCCTTCCCAGAGTTTGTCCGGATGATGTCCCGCTGAGGCCGCCAGGGCTTCTCCAGGACTGCCAACTCCCACAGGCGGGGAGAAGAGCCGAGCTCGCCTCGCCTCACTCCGCAGTAGATGCCGAGAGCCCAGGATGCAACGGGCGGATGGGGCCTGCCTGCACCCCGGGGAGGTGCCCACCCCGGACCCCCACCCCTCCGCACTGTGAAAGACTCACAACTCCTGCAACTGGAAAAAAGGGGGGCGCCCGCCGGCGAGGAGGCCGCAGTGCCAAAGCCGGTAGAGGACATGCGAGGCGCCAAGTGCCATGTGCCCAGCCGCTGCTGGCTGGGTGGGCCAGGGAGCCCACCAGCAGACCCCACACAGCATGTCTGCCCCGGGGCAGAGCCTTTCAGCGCCCTCCTGAGCTCTACGCCCGTCCCAGCTCGCCTAGCCCTTTGATCTCAGAACCAATAAAAAAAAAACGAGAATGACAGCCAAGGTGTCCTTTGCTTTGAGCCCGGTTAGAGGGTGGATATTCACCTTCCCCCAGAACCCCCAGCACGTCCAGTATTGGATGGAATTTCTGTTCTGTGCCCAGCAATTTCCATTCTCGTCTATTACATAGGCCAGAATGCGGCCTTTTTCAAGACAAGGTTTCTCTGTTTAACAGCCCTGGATGTCCTGGAACTCTGGACCAGGCTGGCCTCAAACTCGCAGAGGTTCGCCTGAGATTCTAAGAGAGACCGCTATGGCTAGCTGGGCAGCTGCCCCACATAAGACCTGGTTCTTTGTTCCTTGACAGAGTCTGGTTGACCTTTTACTAAGCCAAGAATAAGCTTCAATTTTTTTTTTTTTTAAGAATTGTTTTATTTGTTATGAGTACAGGTGTTTGGCCAGCATGTACACCTGTACACTGTGTGAGTTCCTGGTGCCCACAGAACCAGAAGAGGGGGTCGGATGCCCTGGAACTGGGGTTACCAGACAATTATAAGCTGCCATGTGGGTGCTGGGAATGGAACCCAGGTGCTCTTAACCTCTGAGCCATCTCTCCAGCTCTGGCCTTCACCCGTGACCCCAGGAGTGCTGGTGTTACTGGAGCACATTATGGCCCCCTGGTTTATGCAGGGCTGAGGATCAAACCCAGGGCTTCACCCATGCAAAGCAAGCATTCTGCCGACGGAGCCAGATCTCCAGCCCCCCCCCCCCGCGC